AGAAGGCCGGGTTTAGGGTTTATGGTTTAGGGGTTTAGGGGTTTAGGGGTTTAGGGTTTAGGGTTGAGGGTTTAGGGGTTTAGGGTTTAGGGGTTTAGGGTTTAGGGTTGAGGGTTTAGGGTGTAGGGTGTAGGGTGAAAGTGTTAAAGGGTTTAAGGTTTAGGACTGTATGGGGCTTAGGATGAAGGCAGTTGAGGGTTTAGAGGCGGATTTTAGGGGTTCAGTGCTTTTTGAGGTTTTAGGGTTTTTTGGTTGAGGTTTCGGGATTGCAGCGTTTGAGAGCCTCTTCTGGTTTCCGGGATTCTAGACCCCGAATCCTGAACATGCGTTCTTTGTCTTCCGCCCCAAACTTCATAAAGCCTTGACGGTGATAATCCTTATAACACCTAGCCCCTTGACCGTCCGTGCAAAAGTGGAAGCCTTGAGATGCACACACACCGAGCTTCGCGTCTGGGCAGGGGCCGAGCTCTTTCATCTACCGGGAGCTACTCAATGCTCGCGAGGCTGGACGTCCCCATAGTGCGTGTGTGTATATGCACATGCGTAGGCGTATGCGCATGCGCACGGGTATGGTGTGTAGATTTTTTTCCTCCCGGATTGCTGAACGAGTCGCTAGCTAGGAATCAGGGTTTACGGTTCCGAGCTCCGGGTGTTAACCCGATATCTGAGATCCGCCAAGAAGCCTTCACATACGTTGAGGTTCAGAGAACAATATGCAGGGGGGATCTGTTTGTGGTAGAGGTTCGAAGCACGGTCTGCGTGAGGCTAATGTCGACGAGCTAGCGTATTCGTGTGTGTATGGGTATGTCTATGTGTATATGTATGTGAATGTGTATGTGAATGTCTATGGGTATGGGTATGGGTATGTGTATGTGTATGTAAATGTCTGTGGGTATGTGTATGTGTATGTCTATGTCCATTGGAATGTTTATGTGTGTATGTATGTACGTATGCATGCATGTATGTATGCATGCATGTATGTATGCATGTATGTATATATGTATGTCTACAATGTATAAACTGTAGTTGTATCTGTATATGCATATGTATATATGCATATGGATATGTGTATACGTGTATATACATAAGTATACATTACATTACATATCTATCCTGATGGGACATCCAAAACGGTATTCCAAACTCGAAACCCTTATGATCTGAGACGAGCCCTGAGACCAGAGCGGGCGGTCTCCGCTTTCGATGTCGCGAGGCCCCCCTGGGAGATAGTCCCACCAAGTGCCTAACCGCCTAAATGGGAAGTATATCTGAAACCAAATGCCGGCTGCTGTTTCGTAGAAGGAATAGCTTACCTAAGGCGGTATGAGGGGCTCTTGGTGATAGACAGGTCATGTCCATTCCGGGCGCGAAGTTGGAGGCCGGACAGACGGACGGTCGTGGGGATCGGGGCACACGATGGAGACAGAGTTCAGAGTCCTACACTAGGGTTGAGTGTTTAGGGTTGCTACCCTAAAACCCTGAACCCTGAAATCGTAGCCCTGAACCCTAAACCCTCAACCCCTAAACCCTAAACCCAAAGCCCTGAGCCCTAAGCCCTAAACCCTAAGCCCTAAGCCCTGAACCCTAAGCACTAAACCCTA